CCTATGACGGAGATAGCCTCAATCCGTAATACCGAAGATGGCCTCAATTCGGTGGAGGTAGGATCCCTCGGGCGATGGCCTCAAACCCAAGATCGCAGACCCTCGTGCGCACGTCTTAACCTCACTGACCAGGCCCTGCAGCCGCCCGAGCGATGGCCAGTTTCTATGTTCAACACAATAAACCAATTGACCTTAATCACCGATTAGAATTAATTAATTAACTTAACTAATTCATTAAAGTCTTGGATTTAACCATTCGGTCAAACCTACGTCGACAGAATATCCAGTCAAAGTCCAAGTCAAACAGGACCTAACCCAAGTCAAAGTCAAACCTGTTCAGTCAATTCACAAACCTCAACAATTCAATTCCCATAATCAATTTAATTCAATTAACCAATTTAGCCAAATTATAGCATAAACACATAACGATCCAAACCATTAAATCTATTCTGAATGCTATTAACTTCATAGTACGGACCTGGATTACGTCGAAATTGAATCGATAGCTCGAACGGAAGACAAATCAACGAAATCAACCGAACGGGTCAAATCGAGTCAAAGTGCGAAATCGACCAATCAATCCGGCGTGGAGGTTAATCTGCCGGCGATATCAACTCGGGGTAGCGGCTGGATGCGGCGACGGTGACGGACGCCGGTGACAGTGGCGTAGCGGCAGCTCGACGGCGGTGAGCAGCGACTGGCGGCGCTGCAATCGACGGCGGGGAAGGACGCCGGCAGTGGAGGCGACGTCCGGTAGAATGACGAGGTGAACCGTCGTCGGCGGCGCTGGGCAGCGACTGGCGGCGGACGGCCGGCGAAGGTGAAACAACAGCTGGAAGCTCGGCGACGGCGGCTGGAGGCGACTGGCGGCGCTGCGCTCGACGGAGAGGAAGGACGCCGGCAGTGGAGGCGACGTCCGGCGCTCGGCGCGGCGGCGCTGCAACTCGGCGGCGCTGGAGTCTCGACGACGGCGGCTGGACCTGGCGGTGAAGCTGGACGGGAAAGACGAAGAAGAAAGAAGAAGAAGGAAGAAGGAGAACGGGAAGAGGAAGAAGAAAGAAGATAAGGGTTTTGTGGCTGAAATTAGTTTAGGTTTATTTAATAGTCACATTCCAAAAAGGATTGGGCTTCGGACCCAAAATACCTGATTAAATTGTCATAACTTGAGCTCTGTAACTCCGATTCACGAGCCGTCTGAACCGACGCGATCAAAAAAATATTTCCTACAAGATGACATAAAAGTTGAGCTGAAAATCCAAATTATAATTTTAACCCCTTATTGGGCCCAATTCGTAATCAATTGCTCTAACAATTTAATTAATTCTTTTGGGCCAGATTTCGGGGCGTTACACAACAGATAGCAAACGCACCAATGTTTCAACCACCTCCACCACCACCACCTCGTGTGGTAACCTACAAAACACTAAGGGATAATGGTGCGGAGATATTCTTTGGGGATCGCATCGCCGAACCCCAAATTGCATGGGATTGGATCGAGCAGACGGCTCGGGTGTTGGAAAATCTTAACATACCCATTAACAATTATCCCAGACTGGCTTCTCAATTGCTTCGAAAGGAAGCCTACGAGTGGTGGAAGAGGACCGATGAGAGTGCAGGAACTCCTAAGCCATGGACATGGGCACATTTCGAATGGGCATTCAAGCAAGAATATATTCCAAAACGTTTTAGTGAAGTAAGACGTACGGAATTTGTCGAACTGCAACAGGGAGACATGACACTCCCTGAATATCGTTAGAAGTTCACCAAACTTGCAAACTTTGCGCCAACCTTGGTGAGTACCCCAACCGATCGCATTGAGGAGTTCAGGAAGAAACTTCGACCTGACCTCAGGTCACGTGTGTCCGTCCTTACCACCGTGGATTTTGCAAAGGCCTACGAGATCATAGCTAGGACAGATAGTGACCTGAGTGCTTGCATAGAGTATTTAAAGGCAAACAATGCTGGCTCAAGCACTCACCGTCCCACTAGCTCTGCCTCAAAAGGAAAAAGACCCTTCCAAGAATCTAGCAGTTCGCACTTCTCAAAGAAAGGGAAATCGGCACAGACGCACTCCGTGGCGACGGAAGCAAATCAAAAGGGTGGAAACACCCATTGTGTGATACGTGTGGGAGACATCATCCAGGCGAGTGTTGGTTTGCCCAAGGGTTATGTCTAGGTTGCGGTAAATCAGGACATTTTCGAAAGGATTGCCCCACTAATCCTGGCAAACCATTTTCAACGGCCCTAGTTGCCAGCCAATCAGCCTCAGCACGACCTGCGCCAAGTCAGCGATCGACGGCGGGATCTAATCCGGCCAAGAACCAGGGTCAACAACAAGGACGAGCTCCTGCTCGTACTTATGCAATGAAGGCTCGAGCTGAGGAAAACCCTGACGTCATTCAGGGTATATTTTCCTTATTCGATACTATCATGCATGTGTTGATAGATCCTGGATCAACATTATCTTATATCTGCGTGCCTATGCCTGAAAAAGCTGACATAATGAAAGAACAATTAAAACAACCTATACTGGTGTCAAACCCGTTAGGGCATAGTATGAGGTTAGATCATGTATATCAAGATTGTCCGATGATTGTTGAAGGACAACGATTCTCTGCCAACCTTGTTGAATTACCGTATAAGGAATTTGACATCATTCTCGGAATGGATTTGCTCACTGAGCACCAAGCAGTTATCGATTGCCGACAACGAACGATTCAACTAGAATCTAGAGAGGGAAAATCCATAAAGGTGAAAGAGGAGCTAACACCTAGATCTACTGAATTCATCTCATACATACACGCTAGACGTCTCATTCGAAAGAGATGTGAAGCTTATCTGTGTAATGTACGTGACACAAAAAAAGAAACTCCTGAGTTGAAAGACATACCGACAGTATGTGGTTTTCCTGACGTATTTCCTGAAGAACTTCCTGGTATACCATCTTCCAGAGAAGTGGAATTTTCCATCGATCTTGTTCCTGGAACAGGACCGATATCTGCAACTCCTTATCGCATGGCCCCTGCTGAAATGAAGGAGTTGAAGGCTCAACT